CCTGTCCATGGTGGCCTGGGCTATCTGGTGTGAACAGGAGCTGCTGGACTCAGTGCAAGCTGGGACAGAGCAGTCCTGGATTGCACTGGTCACTGCGCCTTTGCATTTTAAATGTAGTAAGAGTCCAGCAGCTCTTACTACATTTAAAATGCAGAGCTGCAGCATGGGTGGTTCCCAGAGCCGGTACAAGCCAGGGCTGCTGAATCCCAGCTTGAGCTGGCTCCTGAAGCTACCCCCACTGTGGCTCTACAGAGTGGCGCTTATCAACTAATCATGTGGTTTATACAAATTGGTCTGATAACCACAACCTGATAACTACACCATTGGCCTGATAACCACAACTTAACATCTTTACCTTGAACCTCATTCCTCTCTGTCCCTTCTCCTTGCTCTGTGTGGCTGAAACACCATGGCTGTGTCTAGACTGGCAAGTTTAAAAACTTGCCAGCTGTCTACACTGGCCGCTTGAATTTCCGCAAGAACATTGATGATCTCATGTAAGAAATCAGTGCTTCTTGCGGAAATACTATGCTGCTCCCATTCGAGCAAAAGTCCTTTTACGCAAAAGCTTTTGCACAAAAGGGCCAGTGTAGACAGCTCAGATTTGTTTTGCGCAAAAAAGCCCCGATCGCGAAAATGGCGATCAGGGCTTTTTTGCACAAAAGCGCATCTAGATTGGCACGGACGCTTTTCCGCAAAAAGTGCTTTTGAGGAAAAGCGTCCGTGCCAATCTAGATGCTCTTTTCCGCAAATGTTTTAACGGGAAACTTTTCCATTAAAAGCATTTGCGGAAAATCATGCCAGTCTAGACTTAGCCCATAGGAGTGAGGTGTTTCAGTTGTGGGGCAGATCAGTGAGGTTTGGGGATTTTTTGAGGAGTTTTTTTGCTTCTCACTTGTGTGGACCCCAGCTGATTTTTCTGTGTACAGTGGCCTCCAACCCAAAAAAGGTTCCCTGCCCCTGTCATAAATAAAGAAAACACTGAAACCTTGTGTTAGTCATAAATTAATAATTTACTTTATTTAAAATGAAGTTTGATAAACTAACACAAGAAAGGTAAAATGCTTAATGTTTAATAATTTAAATTAAACTATTATTCCTAGTTGCAGCACTAGCAAAATGGCTTGATCATAATTATGTAATTAACAGTGAGTTAATGGGCAACTGGTTGTTCAGAAAGGTTTACATTGATCAAGGTGGTTTAGAATCCAAAAAGTCTGAGAACCACTGAAATACAGGCACTCCTGGCTCTACCCCAGAGTTAATACAATGCAAGTTGGATAAATGCAATTGCAGTATAGTTGCAAAGGGGAGTACTGTGGAGGCTAAATCCATCCATATCGGCAGAGGACAGTGGGAAGAATTCCTAGAGGGTCACACAACACCTTTTACTTCCGGTCATGTGTCATCTTAACCCTGAAAGGACTACCTCCCGGGCTGTGTCTAGACTGGCAAGTTTTTCCACAAAATCATGTGCTTTTGCGGAAAAACTTGCCAGCTGTCTACACTGGCCGCTTGAATTTCTGGAAAAGCACTGACGATCTCATGTAAGATCATCACTGCTTTTCTGGAAATACTATGCTGCTCCTGTTTGGGAAAAAGTCTTTTTCCGAAAGACTTTTGCGCAAAAGGGCCAGTGTAGACAGCATAGTACTGTTTTCCGCAAAAAAGCCCCTATCGCGAAAATGGCGATCGGGGCTTTTTTGCAGAAAACCGCATCTAGATTGGCCACGGACGCTTTTCCGCAAAAGTGCTTTTGCGGAAAAGCATCCTGCCAATCTAGACGTGCTTTTCCAAAAATGCTTTTAACGGAAAACTTTTCCGTTAAAAGCATTTTCGGAAAATCATGCCAGTGTAGACGTAGCCCAGGAATAGTACTTTGTGATAGGTGGGCAGGGCCTAAGGGATGAGAGGGTGTGACTAATGAGGCCGGGGCCCTGGCTAATGCGACCTTAGTTTTGGTTCAGAAAATATGGTCACCCTACATAGGCTGCAAGCAGAGAGGAGGCTGCTGAATGCTAATCCTGTTCTATGTTCTTTAGAGAATAAAGTCTCTGGTGACCGAGGACCCAAACCCAACTTAGTCCGAGTGAGTCTGGTCTGAGGTGAGACACAATGCAAAGCACACAAAGGAGCCGCAGGCCAAGTCTCCCAGAGTTGTGTAAAAAGTCACAAGGCTGCCCCTACAATCCCATACTGGGCTAGGCTCTCAAACTCCTCTGCTGTCTGCTCCTCACACACCAGCTGCTACCAAAGCAGTCTCCCTGCCCCATGCACCAGCCTTTAACTGCCCCCAGCGCCTGTATCCCTGCCTCACCCACCAGCCTTTGCCCAGCCCTGTCCCACGCACAAGCCCCTATCAGCTCCGCTGCCCCGCCCCCCACATTCTTCGCTAGTCTACAGGGACAAGTGAGCCTGGCGCAGCGCATGCGCAGTGGCTTCAAATGTCCTTTGCTGATTCGGCCTCCCAGTAGCAGGGGGCGAGCCAGGCAACAGGGACTGCGTTGCGCATGCGCTCGGTCGGAACACGCACGATCTCTTCCGGAAGCCTGTGATTGACAACACACGACAACGGAAGCACTGAGAGGCCGCTTCCGGTGTCGGAGATACATCCTGCGCGGGCGGCCCCGTGAGCAGTTGGGCGCGTGCGTGACGGTGACGCTGCCAGAGAGCGCCCGTTGCCGTCTGGCTGTCCTCGGCAAGGTCGCGTTCCCGGGGCTGCGCGCGCGG